GTGGGGTGTGGTGGGGGGGGGGGGGGGGTTCTGGCCCTCTAAACAGGTTCTTTCATGTCTGTTTGAGAGCTGTACAAAGAGCACAGCTGCTTTGGCACATCTCTAAACCTGAACATTTACACACACACACACTTTTATCTCCAGTGCCATCACCCTGTCTCATCTCACCCAAACCAAACAGCCCTGAGCCGGGCAACAACACACACTTACTCACAGTTTCATCACACACTTCAACAGAGAGATGCTGTATGAACTAGAGGTAGTGCTGACACCTCAATGAGAGAAGACAAAAAGACTGGAAAATCACTTAACTGAGATGAGACTCTGATGAAGACCTCACAGAGAAAACTCACAAATGAGATCTATTTGATATCTTATTTACATGAGCGATGAGAGTCTCCTGCTTCTTAACGTTTTCTCCTGAGAAAGACTCAGTAATCTCACACGCGTCTCCACTCGAGTTTCAGATGAGATCCCAACAATGTCTCCAAATTTGCAAAACTACATTACATCTCAAACATAATATCTAAAATTCGTCATATCTCAAACACTTCAACTATTGCTCCTAGACAACAATGAGATGAAAAGGAGAACAAATTGAGTCTCCTGCTTCTCAGATGTTTCTCCTGAGAAAGACCCCAGTAATCTCATGAGTTTCTGAATATCTAAAAATTGTAATATCTCAAATACCTCACTTGCTTCTCGCTAACAACAAGATTAAATGGAGAACAAATTGAGACTTTTCTGATGTCTCCTGCTTCTCAGATGTTTGACCCCAGTCATCTCACATGTGTCTCCTCTAGAGTCAATATGAACTCAAATGTGATCTGAGTTGAAGTATATCTCTATACTTTTACTGTGACAACTACTTAACACAAAACTGAAAACATTAAGTCTCCTGAGCTATTAAAGAACAACCTCTGAGAAATTCAGTTTTCTTCTTGTGCATCAATTTCATTATGACTAGGTAAACATTATTAGATGTTGCAGACAGCGTCTGAATCCAACAGACACCTACTGGGAACCTTAATTTAGCTGGTCAATGATAATCAGGTAATATCAGCAAATAGATTCTGGTTAACAGAATTCGATTTCATTCACTTCAAGTACCCCACTTGGATATTCGCTTTGTGAACCAATTTTCTTCATATTTGCATTGCGGGGTGCTGTATTGTTTCATGGCACATGCTGAGTCGGCCTGGCAAACGGTATCTTTCTCTGCAGTCTTTTGTTATGTACGTGCAAAGGTGCATTCGTGAAAAACATATGAAAATGGAAAGTTCGAAACATACCACCATCTTGTTGAGGGAGACCCAGCAGTCGGAGGGGAAGTCTTGCAGCATGGGCACCAGAAACTGCAGGCACCCGTCCCAGTGGCACAGCAGCAGCATCATCGCTATCAGGTTAAAAATCCGCATCACTGCGCTCGCCAGGTCATACGTCATATGGAAGATCTGCAGGGGAGAATCACAACACGACGTTTGAAGAAGCATCAAATTGGGCATGTTCGGGAAACCTGTCTGGAGATCAGTGATTATTTTTGCAGTTCTGTTTGGTGCCACTGGAGAGACACAAAAATACATACATCCCTACTAAAAAAAACTGAAGTACATAGTGTATGAGTGCATAGTGTATAGTGCATCATTTGGGACGCAGCTTAAGTTTGTACAATAATTTACCATAGATATATATATATATATACGTATCTATGTAATTTACAACAGCTTCGAACGCAGCTCAACCAATCAGAATCAACACTTTTTGGTGTTTTTGTAAACATTAGTTAACGCATTTGGCATCATGAACTTAAGTTCATATTTATTTCTACATATAATAATATATTTATTTACATTTTAAGTTAAATTAACATTATACTGTAAGCATTCTGAATGATCGAGAATTAACAACGAACAATAATAGATTAATATAAATTCATAAATAAACAAATTAACCTAGGTTACTATAAATTAACCTATTAATAAATGCTGTAAATGTTGTTCATTGTTAATTTATAACACCTGGGCCCGGTTTCACAGACAGGGTTTAGCCTAAGCCAAGATTAAGCCATAGTTCAATTAGGACATTTAAGTAATTTTTATAACCATGCCTTAGAAAAAAACATTACTGGTGTGCATCTTGAAGCAAAACAAGGCACTAATATATTTTAAGATCAGTCAGTGCAAGTTTCTTTCAGTTGAAACAGCTCAGACTTACATTTTAGTCTAGGACTAGGCTTAAGCCTTGTCTGTGAAACCGGGGGCTGATGGGATAACTAATTGAATATTACTATAAAGTGTTCACAAAAATACTACTAATAAAATACAATTAATATAATTAGTCATAAATTAAATTTAAGGTTTATGATTAATTGTTATATACCAATATTTATGCCATGTAATATTTAGATAAGTGTGTGTGTATGAGTTTATACTTAGAATTTTAACTGCCAGTATAAAGAACTTATATATTTTAAAAAGTGCCTTGACTTTGACAAAAAAGAGGGTTAAACTTTGCCTTACACATATTTCCTCCACACAACACAAACACAGCTCTTGCATCAAGTTCAGATATCCTTCAGAAGGCTTTTCTTTAATTGACCTGCTCTCTGTAGAAACACTGACTCGAAACCTAACTTGATTAAAGAGCCTCATCGAACATCTTCTACATCAACTGACCATCAGACACTGGACATTTGTTACCACTCAAAGCGGCCCATCAGTCAGCAGACAACTACACAGCGAGACACTCACCACACGCCTCACGGACACTGAGAACCTCCAACTCAACATACGCCGCCTTAAATCACATTACATGAAACATCATTTCGTTTTTTAAGATGAATAATCTGAATAAGAAGCATTGGATCATGAATGAAGGAAAACAGGTTAATCAGCCAGTGTATTATTGCATTTGTTTACTAATATACAAAATGCTTTTTTCCTAACAAGATCATACTAACCTGATTCTTTACTACACTCTAAAAAATGCTGGGTTAAATATAACCCAATGCTGGGTTAAAAAGGGACAAACCCAGCTATTGGGTTGTTTTGACCCAGCGGTTGGGTTGTTTTGACCCAGCGGTTGGG